TCCATCAGTTGAGAGGAACACGTAGATCGATTCAATTTTTCACGCTGATTTCAAATCTGGCCCAAAAAGATTGCGAAACATCATCAAAATTTGCGAAACATGGTCAAAATCATAAAATACTTGTGATATCACTTTTCGATCGAATCGAATTAGTCGAAATGAAAGTCAGGTTATAAGTGTCCAAAGTCGGCAGAAAGAAGTCGAAGTTCGACATTGAGAAAGAGCAATAAAGTTAGGCGAGTTGATAAAGTATGTTGGAATCTTCTTCATCGTCAGAAAATTTCAGTATCCGATACATCAGAATAGTCTTGCGCATCTGTTAATGAAGTGCAATATTTTGATGATCGAGGTTGCAGTTGGTTGGTGTTGTAGCGAGCATACGATAAATAGTAGATCACTGAAGCACAACACCCAACAACACGTGATCCATTTGGACATGTACAATACCATCCGAGAACTTTTTTCTTGTTGTACTGGATATAAATATCATATTTAACAGTATTTTTATGTCTTGATTGTATTTGTGCTCGTAATTAATCTTGCTTTTGATTTGTAACTTTTACTAGAAAGCTACCGTCTTGATCTAAGTGCTCGGTTGTATAGGCCTTCGACTGTTTAAGCTGATAACAGCTCAATGTTAGTTCTTGTAATTCATCAAATGTCATTTTCGGAAAGTCGTTAATTACATTAGCTGCATTCATTGGCACCCATTTTAGTTTTTCTTGTTTATCTTTCAATTTATCTATATAAGTCTTCATTTTGTTTGTTTCATCAGCTAATTCAAGAATTCGGTCACCAATTTCTCGATCGTGTCTTGTGTCACGAACGAACACTGGTCGATAGCAGTTAATTAGTGCACATACTGTCGCAAAGTAATCGCCAATTTTTTCTATCATCGTATATGGAACTACATTGTTGAAGAATTTCCATTGCTTAACGCGACCATTTGCAGATTCGATCACCCAACGTACTTTGGTGATCATTCTTGTCTGATTAGCTTCAACAGTTGTATATTACTTTTGATTTTTGTTCAAGAATAATGGCATTTTGGTGTTGTAGCCGTATCTGTGTAGGTCATTAAGGCAGTCACGAAACCCACGATCGACACACACCACGTCACTAGGTTTAAGCCAATCGGTAAAGCCCTGTGTGTTGTTATAAATCATATTCTTAGTTATTTCGGCGTCATTGTTTTTACCATCAGCGTAGAACGGACCAAGAGCAGAGATGATGTAGCCATCGCTACTGACAATAATCATGGGGTTTACCTTTGTGTGAGCTAAACGTACGTCGCTGAAGTATATTATTTTGAGATTTCTGAATGTAAATGTACGTGCCATCCAGTATAATAACTACTTTATTCTGATCATTATCAGCTAGAAGTTGTTGTGCAAGAGGACGTATATGATATTTAATTACATCTTGACGACTTATATGATCAAAACCAAGATGTTTTTGCACAAAATGTTGCCCAAGAGCTGTTGTTGCACTATCTAGTATACTTGTTATTTGTTGCTTTTCTTTAATTCCGAAGAGTGTACAGAGAGTTTGATGAGTAAGTCCAAGACGTAATTTGACGAGTAATATGGCGATCGAAGATTTGTATACCTTAATGCAGATAGTGGTATGTGGGAGCAGAGATCATTAAACTGAGTTTTGGTTAACACAGTTAAAACATGACAGTTGTGGTCAGAAATCTTTTGATCGAAGTCCAAGGGTGGTTGTTCATTTAATTCAGTAATTCTTTCTCGTTTAGTTGTTAAGGTTTGTTTCATTTCATCAAATAGTTTAATGATTTTTTCTCGATTAACATTGCATTCATTTAGTTTATTTCGATTTACAACATCAATGTCTTTTTGATTTAAATTGCCATCATTCAGATGATTGTAACAGCATCTACTTCCTTCTGGTATTAGAATATGATAATTTAATAAACTTGTTGTTCGTACATCGCCATTCAGTTGAACTGAACGAATATTCTTTTCGGCAAAATATATATCACAAATCGAACATCTACTGTTTAATTTAGAGAGTTTAAAGAACGGTAATCGAATGGAATCGTTGTTGGTAGTACTGGAATGAGACGGAGAAGGAGTAGTTAAAGGTGTATTTGTTTCTATATCGGTTTGTGTTCCAACTTCGGCTGCTATTACATCAACATGCAAAGTTATGTTGGAGATTTGAGTGAGTATAGTCAAGTCACTACCGGGGCTTCCCCGACTCATTGACAAAAAGAGAGGCAGCACCTCTTTTAGTAGTTTTTGCAATGAGTATCGGCCTATGCCCAACAAGGCTTCCACAGGAGGATTTCAAAAGTAACACCACAATCATGCTGGAGCAAGAGATTAGCCTAAAGTATTGCAGTCAACGAGTTTAAGATTCAAATTCACTTTAAAAATCACGTGAACCTACGAAAGATCGGTAACATCACAAGTATTTTATGATTTTGACCATGTTTCGCAAATTTTGATGATGTTTCGCAATCTTTTTGGGCCAGATTTGAAATCAGCGTGAAAAATTGAATCGATCTACGTGTTCCTCTCAACTGATGGA